GAAGTTGAAAAGCAACATTTAAGTCTGTAAAGGAAGCCAAGAGGGAAAACATAAATAATGACTAATTATTACTCTGAAAAATAAAAATTGCACAATTAGAGCATTTAAAGTGTAAGAGCTGTGCAGAATATACAGATGAATTTGAAAGGTCATGAGGATTGATTCGAAGAAAATATTATAAAATGTTTTTTTTTTAATGTTTTCCGACTTCTTGTTGACTCTCTCTTTTTTCTTTGTTACATTTTCAGAGAACAAGTATGACTTCCTCCCTGCGTCGGTCAATCTACTCGCCGAGCTGCTCAAACTGCTCTTCTGTCTGGCCATGTCTGTCAGGGTCATAGTGCGAGGTAAAGTGTGTGTGTGTGTGTGTGTGTGTGTGTGTGTGTGTGTGTGTGTGTGTGTGTGTGTGTGTGTGTGTGTGTGTGTGTGTGTGTGTGTGTGTGTGTGTGTGTGTGTGTGTGTGTGTGTGTTAAAAGGGGTTTATGCGGAGTCCTGTTCCGAGAGGGGAGAAAGGGTTTGCCTTTGCCCACATTAGTGCATCATTAAGAGAGATGGCTGATTTACCGTCCTCCAGGAGAAATACTGGACCCTGCACACAAACAAATAAGACAACAAGAAACATCACAAGTTGTCAAGACATGTGAGTGTAGATTCACACAAAGCAATACACTGAAGGAACACACACCTGTATTCTGTGTCCAGTGAAGCAGGACAGCTGAACATCTGAGTGGCTGGGCAGATTGGAGCCTGTCACATAATCTGCTCCACACAACACTGAAGCAGACACATGTTGTTCTGGTTAAACATTTATCCTAATCTCATTTTCCTATCATCAACTTTCACACAATACATAATCCATATTAATATGGAGCCTAGCAAAACTGAAATTTGCATCATTCATTTTTCCCTGTCAGCACTCTCCACACATCAGCAATTATCAGGATAATGTTCATCAGGGCAATAAACTGCACCGAGGGCTCCAGCTCCTGACAGATCCCCCGGTACCAACACTCCAACAAGATCCAAGAGCCACAGCAACATGTAATATCTGTCTGAGCGGTGTTTTATTTCTATAAAATCCCCTCAAACTATGTTTAGAACTGTTATTTATACCAGAGTCTGTTGGCGGGATTCTCCTCTGGACGCAGATGAATTCTTCCCTTTGACACTCTGAAGGAGAGCTGTTAGAAACACAGAGACAGAGGTACAATTGTGAAGTGATGCATATGCACATAAGCAATGTAGAGGCGTCATATTGATAATGACAGTCACATCTCCCAGGCAAATTAAAACAAATGGTTGAATGTTCAAAACATACAGTATGTACATAGTAGGGATGTGCATCTCCATCACTGAGGCCGATGCGATGCGCATCTCGATACGTTGCCACGATACGATACATTAACGATACATTTGAAACACCAGGCGATGCGATACGATACGATTCACCCCTGTTGCGATACAGTTCGATACGATTTGATTCAACATTATGCGATTCGGGGCGATACGATGCGATTCAACACGATGCAAAAATAATGATACTTCAATATGGTACGACGGAGGATTTTAGTTGTATTCCTTATATGCAGCAAATCATACATTAACAAAAAAGTGCTTTACATATTTGGTACTGCACATCCCATCATGCCGTTTATTTTTTTACCTTTAAAAGCTCTCCAGAGTACAATTGTATAACACCTCACAGTTAAACAATGTAAGGATGCATTGCTCATGATTAACAATGTGCAAATAACAGCTACCATAGAGCAATGCTCATACAGCTGCCAGCCTGATGTGCTTAACACTCAGAGGCTAACTCACCAGTGAGCAGAAAGCAGTGGTGAACAATAAAGAAAACAAATAACCTTTCACAAACAGGTATTTCATAACTGCTTACAGTAAGGAAGACATTTAAATTATTATTGGCCGTCACAGGCTGCTGTAAGCTAAACACCTCTCTCTGACAGAACACCTCACTGAGTGATTTAACTCATATGTCTCACTTTCAGGTTTCTCTTTTCAGCCGCAGACCCCACGTCGCCTCTTTATGTGCGTCGCTAAGTTCCTCGTACTACTTGTGTACTTTAAAGCGGCTCGGCATCGTTAACAATTTGCGAGTGATTTTTCAAGTTGACCGTCTGTAGTAATAGTGCCGCGCACATATACCATCAGGACGTTACTGATGGGGTGCGGCTGCGGAGTGATACTGTGTGTATGCAAGTCCGCATCTAGGACGGATCTATGTATCATGGCTGTAGACCTGTTAAGTAATAAAGATACCTCATACAAAGGTCT